TTTCACTTTCAACTCTTTTCTATAAAAGTATTCCACGTTTTCTGTTCAGAACCGTGCGGGCTCTCCAAGGTGCAACATGCTTTTTCTCTCTCTACCTCATCTGGACCCAGGACCACCCTTCTAGAAAGAGCTTCTGTGAACACAAGTTTCTTTCCACTTTTTGACGTCTCACAGAATAGAAATCATTCCTCCGTTTAGGGGAAAATGTTTCCCATTTGAAAAGCTAGGGCCCCTCGTTTGGATTTCATCAGCAACCGTTTATCAGGTTCTAGCGAAATTGGATGATCCATCCATGGATCAGAATTTCCCATCCGTGGTTTGGATGCATCAAGATTTCAACATAGTTTAAGAAAAATCCTTCAATCCTATTTGAAAGGAGATGTCATGATATTGAAAGACATTTTCCCATGACGGAATCTATCTATCCCACACCTTCTTCTAAAGTGAAGTTAAAGAGATTTTTCATACCGGGTTTTCAATTTTCACCTCAAACCATACCGTTGACGACGTGTGAGACACAAACCGTGACATAAATTTCAGTTTCCATGACAGCTAACACTCTTGAGATTTAAAAATGTATGAACGAATTCATTTTTATTCCATTTCAGCGACTGAGTGGGCTGGGAAAAATTTTCTTAGAGCTCAGGGAAAAAAAGAGGCTCTTTCCATGACAGTTAACACTCTTGAGGTTTAAAAATGTATGAACAAATTCATTTTTAATCCATTTCAGCGAATGAGTGGGCTGGGAAAATTTTTCTCAGAACTCAGGGAATGTGTGTCCAGGTTGAATGCACAGCACACACTGATGGGATGCCGAAACTCGAGTGGCTTAAAAAATAAATATACGAAATTTGGGTCATCGAGTTGACTAGGAAATTCTCAGAGTTCTGGAAATAATTCTGAGTTCAAGCATGGGACATGAGAACAGAAATGTATTACAATCATCATGTCATCATTGTTTTCGAAAGCCAAAAGAATTCCTCATGAAAGAACATCTTTTTTCCTGGTTGTGGGATGGAGTAGAGATTGTTGCATCTTGAACAACCCACACTGATCTGAACAGAAACATGAATGTTTTTATAGATATAAGAAATGAACTTGAAAGTGAAAGTAAAAATGAAATTGTATTGGCTGGAAATATTTCTTGGCTGTTGAATGGAAAAAAATTTTCCAGAGCTAAAAAAAAAAAAAAAAAACTTTTTTTTTTCTATTTATTTGATGTCCACTTTTTACTTTTTAGAAACAAAAAAAGACAAAAAATCTTTTTTTTTTTTTTGTTTTTGTTTTTTTTTTCTTTCAGAACTTTGAAAATTTTTTCCTAGTCGACAGCCAAGAAATTTTTCCAGCCACTACAATTTGGTTTTTTACTTTCACTTTCAAGTCTTTTCTATAAAAGCATTCCGCGTTTCAGTTTCAGTTCAGAACCGTGTGGGCTCTCCAAGGTGCAATATCCTTCTTCTCTCTTAACCTCATCTGCACCTAGGATGTTCTTTCTCAAGAAGAGGAATTTTGGCTATCCGTGGAAAAACAAAATCCCGTTTTATGCAAGAATGCCATCAGAGTGTTAATACAATTTGCCTCAACGTATTTATGTGAAACTGGATTTAGCAAACTAGTTTCAATAAGAACTAAATACCGCTCGCGTTTAAACCTTGAAGATGATATGCGAATTGCAATTAGCAACATACATCCAAACATCGATGAGATAATTAGAAACTTGCAGCCACATACATCTCATTAAAGGGCAATTTACTGATTTTTGTGTTATACAAAAAAGTATTTTTTCAAATTATAAATAAAATTAATATGAGTCAGATATGATGATGTTTTTATTCGATGAAACGAAAGAACTGCGCGAAATATACATCGTGCTTGTGAACATTTATCTCTAGGTCTACTAGTGTTTGTGAACATTTATCTCTAGGTCTCTAATTTTCTCTCTACAAAAGGGGTCGCAGTCGAAAAAAAGTCTTAGAGTACCTTTTTCAGGTGATGTGATTATGCCTAGGCCTTCTGAAATGTAACTGTAAGGTCGATGCTATTCGCACCACCTGTGCGATTAGTCGCTTAAGCTATTCGCACCAACATTAACCCCGCATACGCATTGAGTTGCCAGATCCGTCGTTTTAACCCAATAGAAAGGAATGGATTCTACGTATGCGAACTGTTGTAGTGAATCTTTTTTTTAAAAAAGGCGAGTTACTACCTTGGCGTAGTTTATCATTTTTTAAGCGTTGACGACTTTCAAAAGTTTAGAAAGGAAAGTGGGTTCCTTTTCTTATAAAAAGAAGGAACACGTTTTCTTTTATTAAAGTATATATAAAAAAGGGTACATTTTTATGTTCGCAATGTTTATCCTTTTTTTGAACGGTTGGAATAGTTTAAATGACTGATTTGGGAGGAAGGGGACAAAATCTTGTTTACATTTTTTAAAACAAAACCTTGTTTACATTTAGCTTTAAAGATGTGTTTTGCGCAAACAAGACTTTAATTCATTCCTCTTTGAAAAATTTCATCAGAGAAAAGATAATAAAAATTAGACAAGGGATTTCTGTGTACAAAATTTAGACATGAAATAAGATAAAAGCGATTATATCAACTATTAAATGAATTATTTTGTATGCCTGCTTATTTTTTTTAAGGAAATACTTGGCATTTTCAGGACACAAAAAGTACTTCAAAAACCTTTGAAATATTAGTACAAACACATTAATAAATTAAATTGAAATAAATAATGGGATGTAATTTAAAAGACAGAAATAATTTAATGTAAGAGATTTAGGTTTAACAATTTGCACACACAAATGATTTATCAGATTTTATAAATAACTGATTTCATAAATAACTTTGATTTTGAAATATGGCATTTGAACCTATAAATATGTGTGGATACTGAAAAAGTGATGAATATATAAGAATATTATAATTTTCAGTAAGTTTTCTTATTGAATAATAAATTCTGACAGTCTTATGCTATAAGACTAGGGTTTAAGTTTACATAAAAATTCCTCTGTTAAATAAAAAAATTTAAGTACTTTCTTTAGCCTTTTTGTCAAGACATTGAAGATTTTATAACTAATTACTCGTCCTCGCTTGCAATTAGAACTAACATTAAATCCCTATTTTATCCAAATATTTCCTGAACATTATCATGTATATAGATTGACTTCGTCTTTGTATCTGGTAATTATTACTTGCAAATTATTCTCTTGCTGGTGAACTATTAACAAGCCTTTCTATTGCTGAGGTTGTTAGGGTTAACAACCTTCGCTCTCGCTACCGCCTGCCTTACGGAAATCGGCGTAAAATGCTGGTACCTGGGCTGATTGTGCGCATGCGCAAACGTGGGTGGTGTGAATAGCCTATTAGCTATTCGCACCGTCGGAGCGATTAGCCACTGCGTAACTGTAACCGGTTGATCTTAGCGTGCGTTGTGCTGTCTGTCCATCTGTCTGAGGAGGAAACTAGCATCTGAGGGGCTAGACGCTTGTTAATGCGCAGAAGGCGCGCAGCGAAAGAGTTAGGACTTGACGTACGATGGAGGCAGAATCTTGGAAGAGCTCCTGAATTTTCAAAGGTGTTTTCCAGAAAATCTTCATCTATTTAAGAAAATTTTCGCGAATATCCTCTGCATTGTCTCGTTCTCAAGGCCGGGAGTTCTCCTGTACCTGGGGGTCTTGTCTTCCTTGCAATCTTTTGCAGCACTAAGATAAGTAGAACTTCTTTTCTCTAAGCTAAATCAAATATCTGTCACTAAAGTACCTTTAAATTCATTTATTTATTATGATCATTATTATTATTATTATGCTCATTTTATTATGTTCTGGCATTAAATACTTAGTAATTGCTTTAAATCATGTGGTTCTTTTTTGGTTACCATCTCGTAGGGACGCTATCCTTATCAGTAGCCCTTATCAGTAGTGTTAGCACTACCCATTGGGGCCCCTTTGAGGAATTTCTCGAGAGAGAAAAACACGATCTTGGGCCTTAATGAATGTACAGAGTAGTAGTTTTTGCTCCTTTAATCTATATTTCCTATCTATTTAAATTAAAAGCATATATTAATACAGTGTGCCTCAAATTGATAAAATAGTACACATATAATAAATTATGACTATTAACTTAATAAATAAATAAAATGATTATTTAAAAAAATTAATTAATATTAAAATAAAAAAAACTCCGTAATTTATTTACTTATTTATTTTTGCTGATATGTTCTCCTCGCCTTGTTTTTGGATTTATGATTTTATTTGATGGTGTTTTCTGAGTATATAAATATATTGGAAACCGCAATAAATGATGTTACTTAATTTTAATGTATAACTTTGCATGATATTATATGTATCTTGATCTTATGTGTCTTCAGTTACTGTGTCTCAAGGTAGAGGCTAATATTGGTTTCCATGTTAAAAAATAAAAGTTTAAATTTAAAAATTTTTAAATTTTAGTTTCCCTGTTATAGCAAAAGTTAGCTTCTAAACTTGACTGTTATGTGACTGGACCCCCAATATTTATTATTTTATTATTAATTTTCCCCCATCTTTACATCTATTCAGCTTTACAAAACACACTCATTACACACACCTGAAAGACTCTATTTAATGTAATGATAACAACTTTGATGACTACACTCATGAACACAATCGTGGGTTTTTTTTTTTTTTTTTTTTTTTTGACAAAATTCTCTTACTTCTTCCTTTACTTTTCTTTCTATAGCCCCTCCCCTTTTTTTTTTTTAATTATAAATAAAAAAAAAAATTTTTTTCCTCTCCATTACTTTTAGGCGATTTATTTTTTACTTTATTTTGTCCCATATTTTCTTCCTAGCCTTTCGAACTCGTATAAAATATACGAAGTTCCTTTTTACTCTCCTCTGAAATACGAAATTGCCCCCTTTGTATATACCTTTCCTTCGCACCTATGCTTGATTTTTCGCACATCGGGGCTGAAAGACTTAGCGGGTGCAACAAAAGACATCTGTCTACTTTGTCTGTGTCTGTCCATCTGTCTCCGAGAGTGTTTTCTGCTGAAGATAAACGTAATATTATGAGCACTAAACATATGATTCTGAATTTTCATCTATAATGTGGTGATCGAATGAATGCAAAAATTTTCCATTTTTATAAGATTTTTAAGAAAAGTCAGAATTCAAGGTATGCTCAGTTATTTATTTGCAATTTTTTCTCTATGTTATTTGTAATTTTACTTCAGCTTTATTGAGTAAGATTACACTAATTGTTTTGAAGATTTTGTATCATCTAAATATAATATAAGAAATAATGATTTCGGAAATTCCATGCAGAAATACGCTAACCAGATCTAAATATTAGTCGGTTGAACGGGACATATGTTTTCTACCTTGGAATATGTGCGATGTAAAGTATTACATTAATCGATTTCTGCTTTTTATCGAAAATTACAAACAGTGGATCATAACTTTGAATTATTATAACTGAATTTGAATTCTCGTTATTATAATACAGGTTTGCACTGGTAGTTCGGTCCGAGGTTCGAATCCCGCGAACGGGCTGGCTACATGAGTGTTTTCGTGGTTTTTCCCGATGTGTAACGTGTATACGAGCCAGTTTCCCTTAGAAAGTCATCCACGAAGTCATCCCTCCCCTTAGGCACATAGCCCTCGAGGCTTTGGCGTAATTAAATAACCTAACCTATAATACAGGTTTGGTTTGGTTTGGTTTGGTTTATTTGATTTGGTAAAGCCCTCTGCCGAAGGGGAAGGATGCCTTCACGGAGGGCTTTCTAACTGAAAGTGGCTCGTCTACACGTTGCACACATCAGGCATATTAAAATTACTGGTTGTATATTGGTGTTATTGCAAAGTTATTTGTTTAATAATTATTGGTGTAATCGTTAAGTAAGGTTTTTTTATTTTTCTGTTATTTTTATTTGCCCATAAAAGTGTTATATGTTAATGCCTTATGGTGTCAAACACAAACTGTATGAGGGACTGAAAGTAGCTGACTTGCTGATTTATTTTATTTATTTATTTGTTTTGTCCAAATGAATTAAAAAAAACTTTAAAAGTTTATTTACTAATTATTTGTCAAAACACATAAACATTAATAACACAAAGGAAAACAGAGTCCAATTTATGTTTGTTTTCTGTTTGAAATCTGAAAGTTAGTAACTGTAGGAAATTTCTGTTGGTTACACTCTGTAAAGATATTAGTATTAAGTATTTATTTATTTCAAATAATTCTAATATATTGAACTAATTACTAAATAAATTAGTTTTGAATTGAAACTAAACAAATTACAAAAACTTTCCGAGTGGGGACAAAACTTGAGTATGAATAATGACAACCTGTTATCTTTCTTTTATTCATTAAATTTTTATTTGATGCCTATAGGAAACACACATATATTTGCATGTAAATATTTATATATATATTTTTTCTTACTACAACTTTCAGCTACAACACCTTATGACATTTCGATTTTGATAAAATTTGTAATCCTGGAGAAAAACTTAGAAACTATCATTATATTATTGTATTATTGTGAAGTTGTTTCATTTATCACCATGATTTTGTTTCGTTTATCTCCAAGTTTGTTGTTTCATTTATGGAAACCTGAGTAGTTGAATGTTCCGTAAATATACTTTTATCTAAAATTGGGTGCTTGTTTGACTTTTTAAGTGAAAATATATCAATGTGTACACGGACAAAGTCAAGGGAGTATCCAGTGCCAAGTTTGTGCAATTCGCTGATGTTTTTCTAAGTGAAAATAGCTCAACGTGTACATGGATAAAGTTGAGGGAGTGCGCAATGCCTAGTTTCTGCAATTCTGTGATTTTTTTTGTATGTGTACATTTATACCGAGTTTGTGCGATTCTTGTTATTTTGTCTTTGCGTAGCGCCGATTTTTGGTGCTAAAATCATCACTACCCAAAGCCAAAATAAGAAGTCAAAGAATTGCGCAAACTCGGTATCCATATACCGGCAGTTTTCGTCTAGGGGTACCCATAAATACAGTACAAAGTCCGTAATCCGGACTCGTCGGGCCTCAGTGATTCCGGATTATAGATCATCAATTTAAATCTGGTAAGATGGCATGCAGAAATTATACAATTAAAAATATTAAACAGTAATTTATGAAATAAAGAGCAATTATGATCTAAAGGGTATCAAAATTTACAAAAAAAGCTTAATATTTATTTGTTTACTTTATTAAACATTTCTTTCAATGCAAGTTTTATGCTTCATTTTTTGTGCTAAACCCGCATGCGTAAACATTAAACGTGCATGCGTAAATGCAATACGTGCATGAAGAGAAATTATAATCTAAAGGGTATCAAAAATTACAAAAAAAGCTTAATATTTATTTAGGTTGATCTTTACAATATGGTAACTGGTAGTTTGGCGACATTTTGGAGGCGATAAAGGTTACTACCTGGCATTTTGGTAATAATGTGAGCAGTACTCAGTTCCGATTATGCATTATTTTGTGTGAGGGAAATCAGAGATCATGGGATATGTCGTGATATTAATGGACGAATTACGGTTCTTTAATCGGAAAAGGGGGGGAAATCGGGAAAAAATCTGGAAATTTAGTATTTGGCTTTATTCTGTTGTTGTGTGAAACAGGTGTTCATGAATTTTTTGGATCCCATGGCCGTAACTAAAGTGAATTCGAAATGGGTATTTATGTATGTATTAATTTAATGTATGTGCTCATTTATATTTTAAGTAGTGTTTTTGAATTTAAATTATATTTTTAATTAAATGATAGTTATTTTGTGAATTTTATGTTTGTAGGAATTTCGTATACGTTTTAGTTGAAGTAAACGTGCATGGAAATAATTTAAATATCTGACACTAAGTATTTGTAATGGTTTGCGGTATGAATTCGTTGGTGACGTGTATAATGTAATAGATGATTTAGAGGTAAAAGTTTTTTGGATATTTTATTTATTTTATATGTGGAAATGTTCATTACTTTTTTCGCGATCAGGTAATTTCATATATGTTCTTTTTACCGGGTTTAAAGATTGAGAAAATTGTCATGTATTTTCGTGAAATTTTTTTCTAATTTATGAGAAAAAAGCAGTGTACATGGATATAGTGAAGAGTGTGCGCAATGCCATTTTTGTGCAATTCTGGGATGTTTTTTTAAGTAAAAATAAGTCGGCGTGTACATGGTTTAGTGATATTTTAATTAAATGATAGTTATTTTGTGAATTTTATGTTTGTAGGAATTTGGTACACGTTTAAGTTGAAGTAAACGTGCATAGAAATAATTAAAATATTTGATACTAAGTATTTGTAATGCTTGCGGTATGAATTCGTTGGTGACGTGTATAATGTAATAGATGATTTAGAGGTAAAAGTTTTTGGATATTTTATTTATTTTATATGTGGAAATGCTCATATTTGGAAAGGGTAAATACTTTTTTGCAATCAGGTAATTTCATATATGTTCTTTTTACCGGGTTTAAAGATTGAGAAAATTGTCATGTATTTTCGTGAAAATTTTTCTAATTTATGAGAAAAAAGCAGTGTACATGGATATAGTGAAGAGTGTGCGCATGCCATTTTTGTGCAATTCTGGGATGCTTTTTTAAGTAAAAATAAGTCGACGTGTACATGGTTTAGTGATATTTTAATTAAATGATAGTTATTTTGTGAATTTTATGTTTGTAGGAATTTGGTACACGTTTAAGTTGAAGTAAACGTGCATGGAAATAATTTAAATATTTGATACTAAGTATTTGTAATGCTTGCGGTATGAATTCGTTGGTGACGTGTATAATGTAATAGATGATTTAGAGGTAAAGGTTTTTGGATATTTTATTTATTTTATATGTGGAAATGTTCATATTTGGAAAGGGTAAATACTTTTTTGCAATCAGGTAATTTCATATATGTTCTTTTTACCGGGTTTAAAGATTGAGAAAATTGTCATGTATTTTCGTGAAATTTTTCTAATTTATGAGAAAAAAGCAGTGTAAATGGATATAGTGAAGAGTGTGCGCAATGCCATTTTTGTGCAATTCTGGGATGCTTTTTTAAGTAAAAATAAGTCGACGTGTACATGGTTTAGTGATATTTTAATTAAATGATAGTTATTTTGTGAATTTTATGTTTGTAGGAATTTGGTACACGTTTAAGTTGAAGTAAACGTGCATGGAAATAATTTAAATATTTGATACTAAGTATTTGTAATGCTTGCGGTATGAATTCGTTGGTGACGTGTATAATGTAATAGATGATTTAGAGGTAAAAGTTTTTGGATATTTTATTTATTTATATGTGGATATGTTCATATTTGGAAAGGGTAAATACTTTTTCGCAATCAGGTAATTTCATATATGTTCTTTTTACCGGGTTTAAAGATTGAGAAAATTGTCATGTATTTTCGTGAAATTTTTCTAATTTATGAGAAAAAAGCAGTGTACATGGATATAGTGAAGAGTGTGCGCAATGCCATTTTTGTGCAATTCTGGGATGTTTTTTTAAGTAAAAATAAGTCGGCGTGTACATGGTTTATGTGTATGTGTTATTTTGAAAAACGCGTAAGGAGTATGGTATTGTGCACTTTTTCCCAATTTTGCAGTGAATATTTGTCATGATTAAGCAGTTTTGTTAGATAAAATTTCTAGCATAAGTGTAATTCGGCTAGTAGATTCTTGGAAGAAGTGTTCAGTAGATAAAAAGAAAAGAAACGTCTTTACTTCGTGAAGACAAAATGGCGGCGGGGGAAAAAAATAGAGGGTTGCTGTAGGAGAGTTGGTCGCCAAAAAAACGCCAAGTTACCATATTGTAAAGATCAACCTTTATTTATTTACTTTATTAAACATGTCTTTCAATTTAAGTTGTTTGCTTTGTTTTTTTGCGCTAAACGCGCATGCATAAACATTAAATGCACATTCGTAACATTAAACGCGCATGCGTAAACGCATTACGTGCATTAAGAGAAATTATGATCTAAAGGGTATCAAAATTTACAAAAAAAAAAAAAAAGAAAAAAAGCTTACTATTTATTTGTTTACTTTATTAAACATTTCTTTCAATGTAAGTTGTTTAAGTTGCTTTGTTTTTTTGTGCTAAACGCACATGCGTAAAACATACAAAAAAGAAATTGTGCCATTGAGGTCCGGATTATATATCATTCTGGATAACGGACTTTGTAC